ACAAAGGAATCAGCTATTTTAGATCTGATATTAACCAACAGTGATGACTTATTAAATGGGGTGGAAGTGGCAAGTGGTGGATATTTTGGAACAGCCAGACACTTTGAGGTTTTATTCTTGTTTTGTTTGTTAGTCAGTTATCCTTTCTTTGGTTGGGCATTTTTTTATTTTACAGTTCCTTCAAATTCCAAATGCAATAAACATGGACCCAGTCTTACTAACAGATCAGGTATAACTCTTGCACTGAGTTGGTATTGAGCAATATTTTTGAGAATTAGGAGATGAATTTTAGTTCAGTTTTCAAGGTTTTAGAGTTGTCTTTATTTGTGGCAAACAATGAATATCATCACTCCATGGATGGCAGAGAAAATAAGAGAGAAAAAACTAACGTTCTTGTTGGTTCTTCTTACATATGCATTGTAAGCTCAATAAATACTGCACTTAGTTGTTTTCATAGGACTTGGCAAGATTCCTCTATGTGGTACATTCATCTCAGAGTAAATAACACCTGATGACCCACTATACATATAAACACACAATAAATAAATGTAATCTACACATTTAGCTACATATATATTTTATACATAAATGCAATAGATTTTTTTTAAAAAAACACCCTACATGTTCACATCACTATCTTCCCCTTTGTATGCATGCTAAATTTCTTGGGTATCAGGCTGAATCTACCCTTCTGTAGTTTCCGAATGCAGATTAACTGCATTGGACTGGAGTATATGAGTCTACACTGCCATATAATCTAGTTCAAATAGTTAATCTGAATTCTGAAACTGCATTATATGGCTGTGTAGATCTAGCCTCAGTTCCCATACAGATGCTGTTTGACATTTGTCTCTGGTGCAGAACAGCACAAGTTGCTGAACTGAGTTGTACAGACAATGCCATTGTTCATGCAAATGCGTGGATGTGCCCACAGATATTGCCTGCAAGTGTACACTTGGAGCTGCTTGCACATAAGCTCTAGTCACCTCTTGAATGTACTGTATATGTACTGTATATGTTCCTGAACTTGTCACTTTTTTGCACACATACTGTACACATGAACTCACACTGCTTGCACAAGTCTTGTGTAACTCTTGCTCACAATAGTCTTGCATTTGAATTTATTTATTTAATGTGTTTCTGTCACAATGAAATGCAATGCTCAAATAAGAATTTGCCTATTTATCCCCCCCCCCCCAAAAAAAAGAAAACAAAGAAGCTATGGCATTAGGACAGATTATGTAGGCAGCTTTTTCATTATCATTTATATAGTGAACTGTTTCTGTTGAGACAAATGAATACAATATGCTCTTTTCTTTTGTGTTTAAATTCTAGTCTAGGAAGATTTGTAGTTTTGAAAAAAAAATCATAGGATTTGATTTTGAAATAAGGTTAAAATGCAGACAGTAGGACACCACATAACACTCTTTCAAGAACACTAATTGAGAGACAGAGAAAAGACAAAGATTACTGATTACATTCCTTTGTATATTGTGGGTGAACTTGTGGAACAACTGAAAGCAAAATAAGTTACGGGGAAGCCTACTAACTATTGAGAAAGTTTGGTTATGTAGCTGCTTCATAATGAGATATACACAGGCTGCTGTGTATGATTAAAATGTGATGATAAGAATGATGAGCATCCACAGAAGAGATTAAAGGAACTCATGGCATGCATTCTTCTTGTTGTTGACTTCAGTTGACTTATGAAAACCCTAAATAGAGACTATTACAGGGTTTTCTTGGCAAGATTTGCTCAGAGGATCTTTCCACTGTCTTCCTCTGAGGCCAAGAGTATGACTTGCCCAATTTCTCCCTGTAAGTTTCCATGACTCAGCAAGGATTTGAACCCTGGTTTTCCAGATTCATTGTACAACACTCAAAACAACCAACTGCTGAATTTTATTAAGGGGGGGGGGATGTTTGAGTTAGATCTCTCTTCATCCTGAATTGTTCATCTAGACATGAATTTACAGATGTAATGAAAAGGGTTTCCTTTACTGCATCTATTCCCATTTTGAATATAATACATCACTATTGTGTCTCATTGGATATAAGTTTAGTTTTCCATCTTCCATGCTTCAGTACTTGTCCTTCCTGTTTCAGCTCGTTGAAGCCTTCTATATACCAAGGAGCCTATTTAATACCATGTCAGTGAGGACATTTGGGAGTGATTGTGTCAATAGCCCTAGTCAGGGCTTAATTCAGTCTATTGTTGGAGGCTTCAATAGAATAGTCAATGATACCAGCCATAAATCTCTCTAAGGACCTCATCACATTGAGGTCCAAAATGCAGGCAACAGTTGGGGGACTCACCAGACAGCATGGCATCACTCACATTGTTGCTTTCCCCATTACACAGGAGAAAGCATTGCCGCTTGGTTTCCCCCCATGCTGGACCCATTCTAACTAATCAGAATATGGGAAGCCTTCTGTGTTATCTGGGCTCCATCCTAGGACACTTCCAGGATGGAGACAGGGTGGAGCTCTCTTGGAAGTAGCCCTGTGCCATGTGATGGGCTCCATCCTGACTCTGTCCTAGAAGTGTCCTAGGATGAAGGCGGAATTTAATGTGAAGAGATCCTAAGGCTTTCCTGAATTTTGAAGGATCATTTAGCCTTCAAGGGCAGACCATCTTAATAGGCCCACCACCCTTGTGGAGTCAAGTAGTAGCTGTGATACTAATTCTGACCATGAAATGCTCTGTCTGTGTTTCTAATCAACATCCCCATTATGATCTTGAATATAATTTTTCCTTCTTCCCTTGTATACAGTTTGCAGACCTTTTTCCAGTCTAAGTGCATGTTTCCAATAATGCTTTCTTGGGACTGATTTATGAGTGACCAGAATTTGGCATTTAGGATCAGTTGTCTGTATATGAAAGTGGAAGATAACATGCTGGGCATAGAAGACTCAGTTTCAGCACTTTCTTGTATGAAGAATGGCTGACGTTTCCAAAATGTAATAATGAACATTTCAATGGTGAGAAATCATCTGAAGACAAGAGAATGGCTGCTTGTCATGAAAGCCAGAAAGCAAGAGATGTAACTTAGGCTATCTGGATATGATCCATGGCCAAGAAAAGAAAGTTAAGGCTTCATGTAGGAAAACACCACATGCATTCTCCATTAAGTCAAAATGGAAAGGTTTTGTCGAAATGGCTGATTGAAATCTATAGGCAACAGCACTTCAGCCAAGAGTCCAGACCTTTTATCCTGAATATTTGCAACTTTTAATCTCCCTTTTACAATCCAAATGGAAAAATAAACTCTAGTTCAAATATATTGAAAGCAACCATGAAAACATGAGTTTCAGTGACTAATATACCAGCTGTTGGTGTGTAAAAGGATAACACAGTGACATATTTTCATTTTTTTTCTACATAGTATGATTGATCATCAAGACATAATTCTTTTAAAGGAATTGTTAATCTTTTTCAGATATTGCTCTAGAAGAAGCAACACTTTTTAGACTGCTTTAGTTGCACCTGCAAAAAACTGTATGCATTAATAAAACACATTGATTTACAAACAGTAAGAAAAGTGAAACCAAAGTCATGCATTACAAGACCCTTTTAAAAAAATAGGAGCTTTGTGTGAATCTCAGATGACAGTTAAAGAGAAGATCTGGCGTCTGGCAGTCAGGGCTGCATTGCCTCTGAACATAGATATTCTATGCTTAACTATCATTAAAGATGAAAAAGTAATATGTTGAGTTTGCATTTTCCTATGAAAATACCCATTTTACATCTCCTGAGTTTGGCAACAGGACAAAGTGCATCTTGCCTGGAAAATCCATACATTTCTAAGACTTGCATTACATTTCAGAGAAAGTATTCAGAAAACCATATATATAGTATATATATTTAGGGGGAAATGTGCAAGGGTCAAAATACATTTCTCTTGTAGTTGATGTAATTTTTTTCTGTTTTTCTTTTTAACTGAGACTTATTATTTCTCATACCTCTGCATGGCTTGCAGTGGTGATATAAATAAAGAGACTTGAATGCCATTCTTTGTAAATGTGAATAAATGTCCTTTAGTTAACGAGAAAATGTGTACTCAATTATATGACTGAACAATGTGTACCAAGATATGGAACTATCTTTGTAGGAAATCCTGTTCCAAGACTTACTGTATAACTCAGGTGGACAAAAATGTTGGCGGGGTTCTAAGAAATGCAACAAAAATATTTTTGTTAAACTAATAATGTTTCTAGTCTTCTACATTGGTTTGGTAAAGATTTCTAGGTACAATCTAAAGTGCTGGATACATTTTGGCTAAAGTTTATGGCAGTGGTTCTCAATCTGTGGGTCCCTAGGTGTTTTGGCCTACAACTCACAGAAATCCCAACCAGTTTACAAGCTGTTAGGATTTCTGGGAACTGAAGGCCAAAACATCTGGGGACCCACAGGTTGAGAACCACTGGTTTATGGTATTGGACAGACTTTATCTCTACGTGTGACCCTGCCCCATTGGTTGTCTCTTGGTACTGCAATTCTCATCCAAAGAAAACTTGAATGTCATAAAGCCATTTCAGCTGACGTTGTATTCTGACAGTCCTTTTTTAAAGGACTTTTTTTTCCTTTTGAGTACTATATATATCTATATATCTATATCTCTTATCTATCTATAGAAAAATAGTAGTAGTAGGCTGCTATACTGTTTTTTTAATACCACAGTTTTTCACTTGTTTATATTATTTCTAATTGTTTGTTTTCATTTTTTGAAATATCATTGATAGTTTCTACCATTTTAATGTTGACCTGTGTATATTTTAATTTTATTATATGTGTTTTAATTTGGAAGCTACTTTGAGTTCTGGTTTTGGGAAGAAGGAAGGCTATTAATAAAGAGTTGCAATAATTATGATAATAATGGTAATATTATTTTAATGCTAACAGACTTGTAGAATTATGTTACAGTTCTTTGATACTGCATTGCACAGTGAGTTGTAGAACAGAAAAAAATCCTTATCATGTTTTTTCCTTTACTCCATAGGATGCAGAATAGAGAACTGCGACTCTTGTTTTAGTCGAGACTTTTGCACCAAGTGCAAACCTGGGTTTTATCTCTACCGAGGCCGTTGCTTTGGAGAATGCCTAGATGGCTTCATGCCTTTAGAGGAAACTATGGAATGTGTGGGTGAGTAATAGTAGAACATCTCTCCTGTGGTGCAGTACTTAGGGTACTCAACTGGGAGTTAGGGATTCCGGGTTCAGCCATTTAGTCGCTCTGCCGAGCCAAACTCACAGGGATGCTGGGAGGATAGTCAGAGGAATCATGCGTTCCACCTTCAGTTCAAGGCATATAAACATATCAAGGATACTAGAGACAAAAGCATACTAGAGACAAAGCTGAAGTACTTTGGCCACATCATGAGGAGACAGCAAAGCCTAGAGAAGACAATTATGCTGGGGAAAGTAGAAGGTAAAAGGAAGAGGGGTCGACCAAGGACAAGATGGAGGGATGGCATCCTTGAAGTGACTGGACTGACTTTGAAGGAGCTGGGGATCGTGACGGCCGACAGGGAGCTCTGCCGTGGGCTGGTCCATGAGGTCACGAAGAGTCGGAGACGACTGAACGAATGAACAACAAACATATCAAATAAAACAAACAGTTAACAGTATGCCATTCTGGATATAATCATCTTGTCTTCTCCTGGATTTTTTTGTGTTCATAAAAAGAGAGCACTTGCACAGTTTCACAACAGGCACAAACACAGTCCCCTCTCCGGACAAGAAAGTGATTTAAATGTTTCCTCTAAAATATATAAAAAAATTATCTCATTCTTTTATTTATGACAAGCTGTTAAGTGTTTCACTGTGATTTTTTTTAAAAAAATCCATATTAACATTAAGAGCAATTTGGATTCTCTGCCAGAGAGCTTTAGTATCTCACCAAACTGCAGATCTGAGGATTCCACCAGATGTTCCTATGGCAGTTGAATTGGAATCAAAGTCCCTTCTAAACTGCTATATAAAATCCCAATGATCTGCTTTGATCTGGATTATATGGCAGTGTAGACTCAGATAATCCAGTTAAAGGCAGATAATGTGGAGTATCTGCTTTGATAATCTGGATTATATGGCAATGTATAAGGGGGCAAAGGAAACAGTGTCTTAAATATCCACCGGTTGAGTTATGCATTGATCATACTATGCAATACTTGTGAATGGCAATGCTGTGCAACTGAATGCATACCTGAATGCACATCTCATGAGCATCTGCCTATGCAGTAGTTTTGTATATGCAGGAGTATATCCAGAAGTTGCAATTTACAACTGAATGTGGATATTCTGCATCCACAAGATAAAGGCCCAATTTTACATGTCCATAAGACACCAAAAGGATGTTGGGCTAGGTATTTCCACAATATAAAATCAATTGATCCATCATCCCAAAGGAAACAGTTATGAAATGAACGTGAAAATAATAGTGCAGCTGAAGAAAGTAGTGGTCGAGAGAGCTAATCACAGCATAGATATTTCATTGACCCCATAATGTGTCTGAACACTTTTCTCATGGAAATCGTGTCTTCAGTTATGATGGTAACAAGGTCAACCTGTGGAAATCTCCCTGAGCTGTAAATCTGGCCATCATTCACCTGAGACCAAATATTAAAATCTGCTACTTTTTCATTCCCTCTGTTAATCTCTGCTGCAGTGGCGTTTATTTCTGCAAAGGACCAAATGAAGCCATCAAAGTTTGGAGGTTGCTAACTAGTGGATTCTGACTTTCTGTTTTTGTTGGTTTCCTCAGAAGGCTGTGAAGTCGGCCCATGGAGCGAGTGGGGAATTTGCAGCAGAAACAACAAGACTTGTGGATTTAAGTGGGGTTTGGAAACAAGAACAAGGCAGATTGTGAAAAAGCCAGCAAAGGACACTCTACCATGTCCAACCATTGCAGAGTCCAGAAGATGCAAAATGGCCTTGAGGCACTGTCCAGGAGGTAAGCACACTAAATACCAGAGCAATTTTTATGAGCTCTTCCCCTTCACCAAAGCTGTGTTTGTTTAACTGTGAGAGATACAGAATACCACCCCCTCCTATTTTTCAAAAATTACAGAAGCCGTTCAACTGCCATAGCACACAAGTCAAGAAGTACCTTATGAATCATCTCTGTGTGTAGTACACATACCTAAAGCTTTTTTTTCATTGTAGTGTATGTTTGGATTCAGTTCTTAACTAACAGCTCCATGATCCTATTATTCTATGCATGACAACATTCAGAAAAATATGTAAATATTGAAGTATATTCACATTTTAGTTCATATTTGAGAATGTGAATGAAAGAAAACCAAACAATACCCCCTCACTTTTCTAGCTATAAAGAGCTGCCTTATAGCAGTTAAGACAAATTGTCTGGTTCCTTGACTGCTCAAAGATATTCCATTTTTCAGGTAGAGTATTCTTTCAGTATTTTGCTGCTATTGTTCATTTCCTTCTTGGAAATGCATTTAGCATTGCGTAACCCATCTTACTTGGATTTAGCCATTTCTGGTGGTGCAGTAGGTTAAACTCTTGTGCCAGCAAGGTCCGTGGTTTGAATCTGGGGAGTGGGGTGAGCTCCCATCTGTCAGCTCCAGCTTCTCATAAGAGAAGCCTCCCACAGGATGGTAAAATATCTGAGCATCCCCTGGGCAACATGTTTGCAGACAGCCATTTCTCTCACCCCTTAAGCGACTTGCAGTTTCTCCCTGACATGAAAAAAAAGATCCATGCAATAATGCTTGATTTTCCCACTCAATGTCAACTCTTTCTGTTGAATATCACCTTTCACATGCTGTACCATTTCACATCGAGCTAATCTTTATTTAAAAGTTGTGTCTATGTGTGTTATCATTGTTCATAGTGTTCTCTCACATGTCCTGTAATGAATTTTTTTTCCTCTCTCACAATTTCCACTGTTTATACAATTTTGGGCTGTCTTCACAATGCATGAAAATAGAAAGGCAGATGGAATAAATTCCTGTGCATGAAAGTGGGGATTGTGGGAACCATTAATGGGTGTGCAAGGAGGACAGATTGCTATTTAGAAGAGTTATTTGGAACTGCATGGAAGGTGAAAAGGATACTAGTGGTTTGGACTTGGCTTGTGAGCACTCTGAAAAATCCATAAAAGCTGCAGAAGAAGTGTTTCAGTAGAATCATAGAATCATAGAGTTGGAAGCGACCTTATAGGCCATCCACTCCAACCCCCTGCCAAGAAGCAGGAAAATCACATTCAAAGCACTCCCGACAGATGGACATCTAGCCTTTGTTTAAAAGCCTCCACCACACTCCAGGGCAGAGAGTTCCACTGCTGAACAGCTCTCACAATTAGGAAGTTCTTCATGTTTAGGTGGAATTTCTTTTCCTGTAGTTTGAAGCCATTGTTCCTCATCCTAGTCTCCAAGGCAGCAGAAAACAAGCTTGCTCCCTCCTCCCTATGATTTCCTTTCACATTTTATACATGGCCCTCTTCACGTCTCCTCTCAGCCTTGCCTTCTTCAGGCTAAACATGGCAAGCTCTTTAAGTCATTCCTCATAGGGCTTGTTCTCCAGACCCTTGATCTTTTTGGTCGCCCTCCTCTGGACACATTCCTGATTGCCAACATTTCCCTTCAATTGCAGTGCCCAGAATTGGACACAGTGTTCCAGGTGTGGTCTGACCAAGGCAGAATAGAGGGGAACACCCAAATATTAAATGGAAGCATCTATTTCATTCTAAGCAGGAGGACAAAATAGCAATCACCTCAAAATTAAATAAATGAAATGAAATCATAGAATCATAGAATAATAGTTGTAAGAGACCCCACGGGCCATCTAGTCAAACATTCTGCCATTCATTAAAAGCACAATCAAAGTACCCCTGAGAGATGGCCATCCAGCCTGTGCATGATCATACATTTCATCATAAATATGATCATAAATTATCATAAATGTCAAAGAAAAGTGGGGAGGACAATTATTTTAGAATAGGATAGAGACAGAGAGGTGATGGATACTCTTCTGGCATTTTCTAAACCCCCACCCTTGCCATTAATATCAAACAACAAAAAACTGATGTCATTGGTTCTTCTCATCTTGTGGTTTAGTCCTAACAACATTAGTGCATTTTATATTCAAGATAAATGTCTCTAGCATTGTTCATACATCATACCAGTGCCCCATAGGACACAATAGTGACCACTGAACATAGTGTCAGTTGTAAAGAGAGTTTTCCTTTCAGACCTTTTGGGTCACAATTTATTTGTCATGACATTTGAGTTTCTCATACAGTTTGTAGTGTTCACATTTTTGATCATCTTATAGTGGCTACGATAGCTTATCAAGATACTTGTGGATTGTTGTTATTGTTTTTAATAAAACTACAGTAAATGTTTTATCTTAATGACTTATTAAGACCCCATCAGTAGCTCTCCATGAACATGTTGTTTATTATGATAGCTCTCAAGTCTCGATGACTTGAAGGAAATATGCATCCAGTTTTCAGCCTTATACAATAGGCTCCCATGATGGTATCTCCCTCTCCCACAAAAAAAACCCTCAGTCAAATAGAAAAAGCTGGGTAGATAAATGGTGAAAGCTGTCATCCTCCAAGGTTTTGACAATATAGTTTAAAAATATATTTATTACAAAAGATACACATGCATACGTAAACCAGGGGAAACTTGATTCTAAAAAAACTGTTGATGTGCTACTGGGAATCATGACAGCTTAAAAGTAGAACAGCACACTGCTAATAATGGAAATTACCTGTTCCTAATGAATTAAATTGAAACTTTACAGGAGAACAGGATAGATTAACAACTTACCTCTTTCTCACTCATCAAATAGCTTAAGGCAACTATTAAATGCTGTTGATAAAATGAAAAGAAAAGTAGGTATTATCTAAGTGTCCCTCACTACTCCAAACCTTTCCAGATTGATAGTTTTTTGGATATCATCCAGAATCAGCTTTTCTTTGAGAAGAAAACACTTTAACAGGATTAATGTCCTAGCCTTGTTAATATCGCAAGTCCTGCTGTTTCGAGAAATCTCACCTTCTTTAGTTAAAAGCTAGTTCATAACATTGCTTGCTTTGCCAACAGATTATTTTGAGTGATCTGGACTGGACCCTTCCCTTTTGCAGGTGATCATAATGCTAGCTAGTGGTGGTTTCCGGCTTCAGATCCCATCTGTACCGGCATTCCCCAAATTATGAACAAGATAGGTTCTGTAGGTTTGTTCGTAAGTTGAATTTGTATGAGTGGCAGAAACAGCCAGAGGGTGAGAACTCTACCTTAGAACTCCTTATAGGGCCTTTTTAACTTGTGGGATTGTGCAGTATAATAATTTTCTTCAGCCAGCACCTTAATCACTCTGATTTGGACACCACCTCAGCCCTGTTGACTTGTAAATGCCTTTTTACTTTTAATGTTTTGAGTGTTTGTTATCATTAGCTCTAGTAGTAAACATGTTCTAAATGTTTGATTTATATATTTAAATATCTAAGTTTGTTATTTTTTAATTGTTCTATAAGTACACCTGATGTTGTTTATTTTATTGTTTATGATTTGATTTGTTTGTTATGTTATGCCGGCTTTGAATGTTTGCCAATTTTCTGTTGTAAACCACCCTGAGTTCCCTCGGGGAGATAGGGCGGTATAGAAATAAAGTTTATTTTTTTATGTAAGTTGGAACAGATACATTTTTAAGTGTAATTCCAGCCAAAAATATAAATTTTGCATCATTGGATAGCATAGGGAAGGGCTAACACATCTATGAAGTTTGTTTTGCTTTCTGTGCCCCTCTTCAGAAGATTTCACTTCATTTTCTGTCCCTGTGATACTTGGATTTTTTAAAAAATTGCTTGTGGAAACTGAAATTGGCAATAGAGCTTTTCACTTGATAACTCTTTCAGGAGTGAATTTTCCTTCCAAGGGATAGATTTCTCTCACTTCCTGTTGTCTCACCCCCTGTTGTCTCACCCCCATTATTAATTACGAGTCATATGTAAGCCGGATGTTTATAACTCAGGGAATGCCTGTATTGTATCCCACGGTTTAGAAAATCTACCTACCCAGACATTGGATCCTACATATCCCATTCATCACATGGGATGGATTCTTGAAAAAATAAAAACCAGAGTAAATTCACCACTTGACTGATATGGAACTCAACAGCTTCCACTACTAAGATTTCATAAATTTAATCCTATCTTCTTTGGCTAGTTGATATTTCATGCAGTATCTATCTTACAAGAGGGTTTTTTTGGTCTTCCAAACATTTTGAAATCTCAGGTTTTATCTTCCTAAAACTGCCTTTGTAGGTTGGAAGGTCAACAATTAACAGAAATGACCAAAATTTCACTAGTAAGCACAAAGAAAAATTAAGCAACTGAACCAAAGTCTAAATTAAAGAGGTATGTTTTGTATCTCCTCTGGAAGTTCAATAAAAATTGCTGAGGGTGGAATTGATTTTGCAGCTTTTGGAAGCTGACTCTGAGCATAGTACAAGGATTCTTGTTCTCTGAGGAATCCAAGCTGTTGAAGGCTTTGTAGGTAAGCTTCATTTGGGTTTAGTTTTAAATCAAACCCAAATGCATATTGGCATGTAATGTAGCTGAAAGAATATGTTTGAACAGGTCTGCATTGTTTCATAATTGTAAAGGAGGAGAACTTTGACAGAAAATTCTGAGTTTCTCATAAGGGCAGCCCCACATATATACATTCGAGTAGTAAAAATCTGAAAACCATAAAATTGAATTGCAAGATATTCCCGATCCAACAGAGAAAAGACCAATTTGCTTATAAAAAGCAGCATTGAATCGAATAATACCTTTACATTACAAAACAGTTGCAATACGAGTGTTACAAATGCATCAATCAATATGGGCATCAAAAACTATTCCTGCCCCCTTGAGGATTCAAGAAAACTGTACCATAATTTCTCATTTGAGCTGATTCAGTTCAAGTCTGAAAACTT